TTGAGTTTCAATTTCAGTTAAGTTGGACGTTTCGAAAATGACCTTCTTGAAAGTCATCTTCTTGGTTGAATGGAAATAGAGGTAAAAGAAGCTAGGGGTTACGACTTAGGACTGAAGTACTGTGAAGAGGAATGTTGCTCCCTATGAACATTTAAAATTTGGTGATGGTATATGTGCTTCACTTTAAGCTATCTTACTTGAATTTACTTTTAGAGACCCTTAATTCTGCCCTTTTTTGAAGTTCCCTGGTTCAATATTGGATTACCCAATATCAATTTTGTTCACATGTTAATGGAGTTTAAGAATGTTTGATGAAACGAAGAAGTTTATTCCCTAATATAGTTTTTGGATGACCTCTTGGCTCTTTTAGTTTGATGATTGGTATATCAATTATTTTGTTATTGGATCCACATGCCTTTGTCATTTAGGAAAACATGAGATTAATCATGTCTTGGTGACCTGTATATCTGAAAGTTTATGCAAAGAGTTGCCACTGGCTGCATGAAAGGGGAAGAACATGGCATTTAGTGTCATTGGCTTAGAAGTTTATTCCCTAATATAGTTTTTGGATGACCTCTTGGCTCTTTTAGTTTGATGATTGGTATATCAATTATTTTGTTATTGGATCCACATGCCTTTGTCATTTAGGAAAACATGAAATTATTCATGTCTTGGTGACCTGTATATCTGAAAGTTTATGCCAAGAGTTGCCACTGGTTGCATGAAAGGGGAAGAACATGGCATTTAGTGTCAGTGGCTTAGAATGCGGAGGGATATTACTTGTGTATTGTGGGGGACAAATCAAAGTCAACATGTTTATCTTCTTAAGTTCACATTGCACAAATTCAATTCTTTGTGCATCATGATTAAAACTAAAAGCATGTGCTACCTCAGTCTTGATTGTTCGCGTCCCTACAGTATTTGTAAACTGTATAGAACTTGAAAATCGCTTAGCTATGGAAATGGTTTCGTGTGGGTTGGGGTGTGTGAACCATACTAATCAGGCCGCCATATAGGCAATGGTAAGTCATAATTAGCTCTTAATCAAGAGAATGCAGTCCAATTTTGTATATTCATAACTGCTTCCTGAAATGTTTTCCTGCTTTAAAGGCTTTCCTTGGCAAAAGGGGGAAGGGAGGTTTTTTAAATGCCTTTGTAGCTGTTCCTGGACTTTTGCTAGGTTTACCCAGTGGATTTTGAAAGAAAGGTTAAGGTGATTGAAGTTATTTTCATATAGAAAATGTCATAGAACTTACATTTGCTTTTCAATGGTGAAATTTTTCAGCAGGCTTTCTACTCCGGATCAGCAGCTTATGCAAGACACATGGGTAGCAATTTTGTTGTTTCTCTCTTAATTTACAACAATGTGTTTATTCCGTGTAGTTTTGAAAGTAGTGTTTATTCCATATATTGTAGTGAAACTTACCCAAATGAGAAAGGGTGTCAGGGGAATTCGGCATTAGAAATCAAGCCTGGCTAAATATTTTATATATGCACAATCTTTTCATAAAACCAAAAAATTAGCTCTAGTAAAATCTGTACGGAAAGAAACCACTCAAGATTACCCAAATTAACGTGTTCGGGGTAAAAAAAAAAAAAAACTGTAAATGCACAGGAAGAGGACTATTCAAATTATCCTATGGATCTTTAGCGACGACTTTGATAGCTGCTTCAAATGGCTAATTTTGCGATGGCTAGCGGCGAAACAAATCGCCGCTAAATGTTTCCCCGCTAAATGGTGTTTGCATAATATCCACCTTAATTTCGTCACGAAATGTCCATAAAACGCTGCAAGTCGCCGCAAAAGACCTGAAACCGTGGTCTAAAATTAGATTACCTAGTTTTTGCTGATTTAACTGTTTTTCCATCTGTAAATCTGATTCCGACTTGGGTCCGAAGTCCACAGTCCAATCAAGAATGTTGGTTTATCGCGGAATACTGCTACATGTTGTATTCATTTGAGAAACGAATAATACAGGTTACCAAAAGTTCGTCTTTAGACATTTGCAATTCAGATCCAACTCATTCTATAGACATTTGCAAAATCATCTTGAATTGACAAGTGACAAATTCCCAACTGACATAACATGTAAATACTGTGTGCAAGACATATATATTAAGTTCAAAGAATCAATAAACCAATAAGACCAACAAAGAACAGGATATACTACATGACCAACAAAGAACAGTATATATTTATGCACACACAAAAAATATTTACAAGAGAATGAACAAATTAATAGTGGTTTAGATTCCCTAAACTACATGATCATTAGACAATAGCGACATTAAGTCAGTCAACTATCGCCCATCATACGGCATTACCATTTGGATTTGCATGCTATCGTACCCACTGGTTGTACCAATAGTTGCACCTCTAGAACCAAAATCACCTCTAACATCCACAAAATAAGNNNAAAGAAAGTGCCACTTTGCTTGTCAATAGCTCCATAAGGACAACTCCGAAGCTATAGACGTCACTCTTTTCCGTCAGTTGAGTCGTAAGGAAGTATTCGGGGTCTAAGTATCCAAATGTTCCTTGCACTCTTGAAGCTCCAAAGTCGGACACTTTTGCCGTGTAATGTTCATCTAATAGTATGTTTGTTGCTTTCACATCTCGGTGGATAATTTGCATGAGAGCAGAGGAGTGTAAGTATGCTAGTGCTCCTGCTGTTTCTGTCGCTATATTCAATCGCAGCTCCCACGAAAGTGATGATCTTTCGCCATTTTTTTTATGGATGTGCTCAGAAAGAGTGCCCTCAACGATGAACTCGTAAACCAGTAATGGCGCCGGTGTCTCTAAACAACAACCTAATAACCTCACCACATTTCTGTGCTTGATTTGAGAAAGGACAATCACCTCATTAATAAAAACGTCACTCTGAGCTGGCGCATCATTAACTTTTGACTTCTTTATGGCAACCACGCTTTTATCTGGTAATATTCCTTTGTAAACCGTTCCATAGCCTCCTTCACCAAGGATTCTACTTTCGTGGTAGTTGTTAGTGGCCTTCTCAAGTTCTTCTGCTGTAAAGAGTTTTGTTGTTTCCATAGAGCCTCCTTGACTAGCGAGTTGTTGTTGTAACAATAAGCCGCCATTTTCTTTGAAGTATTTCTCTTTGAGTTTGATGAACTTTCTTCTCTGCATCCCCCAATATATCCATAAACTTCCAACCAGTAAAAGCAAGAAGCCTCCACTGGCACCTGCAGATAATTAAATAACATTACAACTACCTAATCATTTGATTTAAGAGATTGTTATCTAGCTAGAGCTTTCTTTTAAGAACAAATTAATGTTTTAGTCAAAGTGATATGTTATATCAGAATGAAAATTTCATAAGTCTTCTTACTGAGATTAATCAATATTTATAAGTTGTTAAAAATGTTTAGTACTAAAAAGGGAAAACTTCCAATATATATTATATTAAAAAGACTGAAACTGGAACAGGCTAGCTAGCATGACTTATGTGTGGATTTTTTATTCTGTAATAATAAGGAAAAACGTTATGAGAATTTCGGATTCGGGTCCAAAATTGTCAGTAAAAATAAATTTAGGGTATGATTTTATGATGCTTGTTACCATGTAAATTAAGAGGCATACCCAATGAAATAACGAGCGGGAGAATGATCTTTGAACGATTGTTGTCTTTGATGCATTTCTTTTCATCCATGACGTCATTTTTGTACCCTTTAGGACATTTACAAGAATAATTTCCCAGTAAATTTATGCACGTTCCGATAGGGCAGGGGTTTGAATCCTTGCACTCATCAGTATCTGAAAGATAGTATGGAAAGCCAAACATCAGGTAAAATGCCAATTTTAGCTTTTCCAGCGTCAACGTAACTTAGGTAAAAAGCCAATGTAAATGTAATATTCTTAGAAGAAAAAAAAGTTTGAATATTTAGCAGGAAATATTGAAACAGATATATATATATATATATATATATATATACCTTGGCAACCATCTGGGTGGTATGGATTCCCATGGTAACCTGGCATGCACTTGCAAATGTAACCTGCCGACCCAACAGTAGTACAGGTGCTATTTCCCTTGCATGCAAAACCTTCGCTCTTTTGAGCTGAAACATATATATATATATATATACCTTGGCAACCATCTGGGTGGTATGGATTCCCATGGTAATTTGGCATGCAGTTGCAAATGTAACCTGCCGACCCAACAGTAGTACAGGTGCTATTTCCCTTGCATGCAAAACCTTCGCTCTTTTGAGCTGCGTCACATGACTGATTCCCAATTTCCCAATTAAGAACCGCCGGAAGCAAACTTGTGTTGTCCATCAGTTTCAAACTTGTACGACTGAATTCGAAGCGGTCAGCTTGCACAATAAACGCGTAGCTGCAGGGGTTCGATTCCCATATGCCCGTGCGATTTGTAGGGCTTGTCAACATGACGGTCTGATTTTTCAGTCCGCTAGGGATGGACACTTGGCAACAGCCTACGCCGGAGCAAGTGTCCTCCTCGTCAACAGCCATATCTAGACTATCACATATGGACATGCACCCCGTCGTGTACCGTTGGTTGCCCCGGTAGCCAGTTAAATACGCTAACGTGTCGCAGCCAAGGGCGTAGAACTTGTTCTTGGTATGGGAGATGGTGTAGGGAGGAGACACCTGCAGCCTGGGGACGTTTCCGTCGGTCTGGTTGCCCTGAGCGTTGTAACAGTCTTCGGCTACATATTGCAGAATTTGGAGCTCACCCTCTTCAAGGGATATGTTGGTGACTTTGATATTGCTTGTCCTCAAATTTGCTGTTGGGGGCTGGGTGGATTGGTTGCAAGTGATGTTGAATTCGGGTTGGAGGTAGCAGCCAGGGCCTATGCCAAATGGATATGGGATTGTGAGATTGCCACAATGATCTTGGCAGCCAGGCAGGGCTTGAGCTGCTGTTGCAATTGGAGTTGCTAATAATAATATCACAACCAATTCCACCATGACCAAAGAGAGCTGCAAAATAATTAGGATCCTCCTCATATTGTATGCATGCAGGCTGCAGCAATTAAATCCTTGTAAGTAATACTATATGCTACAAATTGTGCTAATGTATTGGGATGATTTTTGAGTGAAGAAAACAGCCAACAACGCTGGCGTTTTATGTGGAAGGAATTAAGACGCGTGGTGGCATTTCGGCTTATGTGGGGAACGGTCTTTCTAATTAACTCATTTGTCTCTGTTAATGTTTCTCTTTTTCACCCCGACTCGTTATTTTCAGGAATTAGTATAAATAAATGCAATAAAACATCCGACTTGATAAATAGTCAACAAGCGACGGCGGGGGCGAAGTCAAGTCAAGTAATTTTATTACTTGATGAGTATGTGATTGTTGATATTATTTTTAAAATTAGAAATAAGACTAGCAATAATGCCCACGCGATGCTGCGGGTTTTAAAATTGTGTAAAATATATACAAAGTTATGAAAATATGTAGGAAAAATGGTACTATTTATATT